CGCAAAAAAAACGGAGACCATAACAATATGTCACCACTTTTGGTGGTGACATAAAAACAGCATTTTTGTAGCTGCAAGTTGAGGAAAGCTATTTCAGTTGTCCTTTAATGAATTTCAGGTATATATCTCTATGATAATATATATGGTTTAGTAGTATGGAACTAAGATGTAAAACATAATTTAGATGGGTTTTAAGGAAGTTTAAAGGCAGAATCAGATCTATGGGATGACAAAATTACAAGCAACATGTACAATTCATCTACCAATCTATTCCTTACAATCTCAAATACAATTTGGAGTTTTAAGGAGGTTTTTATTTATTTTTACTTATTGCTTATTGCTACTTCAGACTAGGGTTAAACTTCCTTAAAACCCCAAATTCCTAAATTATGTTTTACATTTTAGTCCTATAATACAGAACCATGTAAATCATCAAAGATGATTAGAATGTAAAGAACATGAGGATCATTCAAAGCTTTACCTGAAATTTGTTAATTTGTTAATTTCAGACCTGATATTGTACAATTTGTCAAGTTTTGAACCTCTTTAGAACCCAAAACTTCCTTAAAACCCATCTAAATTATGTTTTGCATCTTAGTTCCATACTTCAATTCCATATATGTTATCATAGACAGATATATGTAAGTAAAAAACATAAGGCTAATCCAAGGCTATACCTGAAAAATGATAATGATGGCCCAAGAAAAAACTTGCAAAAAGTAAAGTGGTAGGTCAATTTGACCCCTCCCCCCTGCAGAGATTAGGGTTAAACTTCCTTAAAACCCCAAATTCCTAAATTATGTTTTACATTTTAGTCCTATAATACAGAACCATGTAAATCATCAAAGACGTTTAGAATGTAAAGAACATGAGGATCATTCAAAACTTTACCTGAAATTTGTTAATTTCAGATCTGATATTGTATAATTCGCCAAGATTTTGAACTTGTTTCAAACATTAAGTTTTTTAAAACCCATCCAAATTATGTTATACATATTATTTCTACGCTACTAAACCAAATATATCATGAAAAGGGATAGGTGTAAAACCAACCAAGGTTATACTTGAAATGTGTTAATTGCAGACCTAATATTGTACAATTCTTCAAATTTTGAATTTGCGAAAATCCTTAAACCTTCTTAAAATTCATCTTAATTATTTTTTAAATCTTAGTTCCACACTACAAAACAATACATATCATCAAAGAGGGACGGATGTAAAAAATATAAGGCTCATCGAAGGTCTTACCTGAAATTCGTAAATTCAGACCTAATATTGTGCAATTCTTCAAATTTTGAACTTGTTAAAATCCTTAAACCTTCTTAAAATTCATCTTAATTATATTTTACATCTAAGTGTCACACTACAAAACCATACATATCATCAAAGAGGGACAGATATAAACCAGAACAACGGCAACGCCAAAGCGTAGCGAATCCCATCGAACATTTTTCAAAAGGGGCACCTTCTACCAAAAGTGTCATTAGACAGTGTGCCATGGTTATAATATTCACATACCAAATATGAACAAAATCGCTCTGCTACTTTTCGAGTTATAGTAAAATACGTTAAAATGGTGGCCATTTTGAAAAATGGCCGCTTTCTACTAAAAGTCTCATTAGACAGTGTGCCATGCATATAGTATTCACATACCAAATATGAACAAAATCGCTCCGCTACTTTTCGAGTTATAGTAAAATACGTTAAAATGGTGGCCATTTTGAAAAATGGCCGCCTTTTACCAAAAGTGTCATTAGACAGTGTGCCATGCTTATACGTATTCACGTACCAAATATGAACAAAATCGCTCCACTACTTTTCGAGTTATAGTAAAATAAGTTAAAATGGCAGCCATTTTTCAAAATGTCCACCATTTTTCAAAATGGCCGCCTTCTACCAAAAGTGTCATTAGACAGTGTGCCATGCTTACAGTATTCACATACAGAATATGAACAAAATCGCTCCACTACTTTTCGAGTTAAAGTAAAATACGTTAAAATGGCGGCCATTTTGAAAAATGACCGCCCTCTACCAAGAGTGTCATTAGACAGTGTGCCATGCTTATACGTATTCACATACCAAATATGAACAAAATCGCTCCACTACTTTTCGAGTTTTAGTAAAATAACTTAAAATGGCGGCCATTTTTCAAAATGTCCGCCATTTTTCAAAATGGCCACCTTCTACCAAAAGTGTCATTAGACAGTGTGCCATGCTTATAGTATTCACATACCAAATATGAACAAAATCGCTCCACTACTTTTCGAGTTACAGCAAAATCGTAAAATAACGAGAAAAGGGCGCCATTTTTCAAGATGGCTGCCATGTGCTTTTATAATATCTACATTTCTAGATTTATTAATGTCCTATATAATTTTTTTTACATTTAAAACATATTGCTTTTACAGTTTTACATATTGCACCTAAATTACTGTAAAATCGGCACTAAAATGGCCGCCATTTTTAAATGAGCGGCCATTTTGAAAATCGACTTTCGAGCAGAACTTCTACCCCCATAGGGTATATGTATACAAAATATGAATAAAATCGGGCCAACGGTATTTGAGTTATTGCCCGGACGGACGGACGGACGGACGGACGGACGGACGTACGTACGGACGGACAGACGTACGTACGGACGGACGGACGGACGGACGGAGGCGTTCCCTATATCCCTCCGAACTTCGTTCGATGGGATAAAAACATAAGGGTCATCCAAGGTCATACCTTAAATTCGTAAATTCAGACCTGATATTGTACGATTCTTCAAATTTTGAACTCATTTAAATCCTTAAACCTTCTTCAAATCCATCTAAGTTATTTTTTACATATTAGTTTCACACTACAAAACCATACATACCATCAAAAAGGGACAGATGTAAAAAATATAAGGCTAATCCAAGGTCTTACCTGAAATTCGCAAATTCAGACCTGATATTATACAATTCTTCAAATTTAGGACTTATTAAAACCCTTTAACCTTCTTAAAAACCATCTTAATTATTTTGTACATCTAAGTTCCACACTACAAAATTATAAATATCATCAAAGTGGGACAGATGTAAAAAATCTAAGGCTCACCCAAGGTCTTACCTAAAATTCGTAAATTCAGACCTGATATTGTACAATTTTTCGAATTTTGAACTTGTTTAAAACTTTAAATTTCCTTAAAACCCATTTTAATTATCTTTTACATCTTAGTTCAATACTTCAAAACCATATTTATAATCAAAGAGGGATAGATATAGAAACCATAGGCATCAGCTATAGTCATACCCAAAATTACCCCTCTCAAAAATGTCAAAATTTTCAAAAAATCAACAATTTTTTTCTCACCTCCTACTGATTCAATTAGTTTGAACCTTTCAGGGATTATAGCCCTGCTACTGAGCACTTCACATGAATTTTTCCAATGTCTTCCGGTGTCTGAATCAAAAGTGAGGCTCTAAAAAGTAAGAAAATGGGTCACGAATTTGCCCCCTGGGGTACATACTTTGTACTATTATTCAAATTCTGTAGGAGTGATTGGCATTATTTATTATGCAAATGATTCATATATATAATGTCTATGTATGTAACTTACAAACATCAAGATATCTAAAGTTATTGAGAATGAAAAAATTATTTTCCCGGGGTGGGGTCTTTTTGGGGGGTGGGGGGCTAATCCCTGAAAAAAAAGAATTATGTACCACTCTGTGAAGCTATCACCTAGGTAGAATTTTCATCCAAGACTTCCTTCTAACTGAAAATGCTGCCAAACCAACTATACTCCATTTATTAAGAATTTTCCTCCTCGCTCTTAGAGTACTAGATAGATTTGCTGTAAATACTATACTTAAAAATCATGAAAAGTGGTCCATTGAATTAATTTTTTATTCTTGTTGGGGGAAATCTTTTTATTTAACTGCAACTTGATACAACTTCTCCACCTGGTGGTAAAACTGGAAGCTAACTACTGGCACCTGGGTAATTATTTTGGCTAACAGATTTCTAAAAACCCTGTTTTCAATGAAAATGTATATTCAAAATTAAGAATTTCATAGATGGCAGTTCCATAACTGTACACTACAATCCAATCTATCTTAAAGAATAGTAGCAATTCAGGGGCGGATCTGGGAACCAACAAGGGGGGGGGGCCCAAACTTCTGGTCTGAGAAAAAAAATAAGGCCTTAGAAGGCCCATTTATGACCAAAAAGGCCCACTTTTCTTTGCAATTAAACAATTTTATATACAGATATACCTGCTATTTTTCAGTAGCTGATTTCTTAACTGCAAATACAAGTTGCATTTTTATCTAGATATCTCAGCTATTTTGTTGACTGGCAATTTAATACGCTGTTTTATGACTAACTCATTTAAATATGAATAGCAACTGCCACTATTCCATTCATATTTAAATGAGTAGGCAATAAAAAATAGGTTAAACCGTCAGCCAGCAGTTGAATTAGAGAATGGTACCTTAGATTCAAATGCAGATTTTTCCAACCAAATTTCTCTATTGAGTTAAAACATACTTTGTAAGCTAACTCTCAGTGCGATTAAAAAGCAGTTGTGTGCTAAAAATACAAAAAAATACATTCAATATAGAGAGTAATTGATTCTATTATGACTGCTTTGGAACCACGATTTATATTCTGATGAGAATAAACATCTTTAACTCTTAGCAGTCTGCCAACAATTTATCTCGCAAAATCAGACATTCCCTGGGGTCTGCCGACGAGATAACTCGCACTTTAGGTACTTGGGGTTATGCTAAAGTTAATTTAGAAACAAAAAATATGTGTTGTGTTGATAATACATACCCAACACTTGATGGCCAGATCAAAAATATATTGTTTTGTAGACTAAAATTTAATGGTTACTATTTGGTCAAATTGTCCATTTTGCTCGGACCAGCGCAGCAAATACTGGGATTTAGTTTAGACTGCTAAGAGTTAATGAATGCAAAGCCCAACAGAACATTTTACTCCACTGTATTGCATATGGTGAAATCAAAATTTTACGACAATTTTGACTTATTGCCCTCCGACTCCAGCTCGTCCAACAAACTGTTCATATCAGCCAGCATAGTCTGTGTGTGAGAGTCAGACAACTGCGAGAAGTCCAAAACAGGAAACAATGTCTGTGTTTCAATGTCAGTTGACTCGATGTTCTCATTTGTGCTGTTTCCACCCACGCTATGGAGGCGAGTTTGGGTCTCAGTAGAATTCTGGGGAATTTCTGGGAGGGTGACAGTTTGAATTTGACTTGTTTGAGTAGTACCATTTGACATGAAGTTTGTCGTAGAGTTGTCAATAAATGTTTGTGTTTCACTGTTTGATAATCCAAGTTCAGCTAGGATGTCATCCGCTGTTTGAGTTTCCATGTTACTTAGAAACTGGGAGGATATATCCTCCATTGTTTGAGTCTCCATTGTGTGTGTATGGACTCTCTCCAAGAGAGCCGTCAGACTCCCATCATCCCCTGTTGTTTGAGTACCACTGGAGGCAAGATCTGACAATAATGAATCATGGGACGCACCAGTCAACAGATCAAAATCAATATCGGGAGTCTGGGTTGCAAGATCAAAATTGATATCTGTGAGGTTTGTTATAGTTGGAGTTTTCACTCCACGGTCCTTTTTAACACTATCCAAGTTCAATCTTGTATTTGATGTTGGGTCAAAGTTCAATGTTTGCAACTGAGATTGTGTTGAAGCTGACATAGATGTCTCTGTAGTCTTCTGACCATATAAAGAAGAGTCAAAGTTCAAAACTGGATCTTGAGAATTTCTTTGAGGGGGTAAAGCTGAGCTTATTGTTGATGTTGAACTAGATGTTGTCATGGTAATAATGGGTGACTTCATTGATGTATCTACTGACGTGTCTGATTTTTCAACAGTTGAGCTGTTCGATTTTAGTAACGTGCGAATAGTTCTGAAGCCAATGTTCACAGATGGTGCATCAGACACAGTCTCAAGATTTTGAGCAGCAGAATATCTTGGGGGTGAAGGTCTACTATTGGTCACAGCTGAACTATAAGCTGGGGGAGATGGAAGTAAATTCATGAACAATCCCAATGAGTTTGAATCATCTCCCTCTAAATCCTTCAAATTAATTGTTCCTGTTTGGGTCTCCATACTTTGTACAGCTGATCCATCTTGGGTGTTTTTTAGATAGCTATCACGAGTCTGAGTTGAAATACTCTCGACCAATGAGGCATCTAGTTCCTCTAAGAGGACCATAGTCTGAGTCTCTATTGTAGAGCCCTCTTGCATTGAGGGAGTCACCTGATGCATTGTGGGGGTAATTGCACCTTGGGTGCCCATGCTCAACTCTTGTACAGTTGGGGTCAATGTTTGGGTTTCAATGGAAGTAGTCTGAGATATCCCTATATGGGCCTCAAAATTATTCTCCTCTGATGTAGTACTGTTTGTCACCTGAGACAGAGTAGGGTCATATAATCTGCTGGGGGTCTGCGAAACTGAAGTTGACATAGTTGTTCCCGAGTCAGTTTTCAATTTACGTGTTTTCTTATATGGCCTCTTGGGGCTTACAGAAGTCTGCGTTTGACTGCTTTGTAGCTTTTTTCGCATACTCCGCCTAGGAGATTTGGTTGGTGCTTTGAAAAATGTATCAGTTTGGATTTCTATATTTGCACTGAGCATAGCTTTTTTAAGTATATGGTCACCCATAGTTTGAGTCTCAAAATCAGACACTGATTTTCTCTTCACTGGGGATGGCTTACTGTTGACTTGAATCCCCACTTCTGAGTGTAATTTTTTCCTGCTTTGTTTCAGAGCCATTTCAACTGTAGTGGGCCTATCAGAAACATTTGATGGTATTTCTGACAATGTTGGAGAACTTTTCATTCTGCTCTCTGCCTTACTTTGTGAAGCTTTTATAAATGTATTTAACGTTTTCTTCACATATGAACTCATAGGTGATGGTAAAATGAGCCTTGGTGGTTTCTTGTTAACAGGAACAGCTTTCGTATATGGACTGGGCAATATAGTTCTTAAACTTTTCAGTGATTTTACTGCTGGTGATTGGGTTGTTTTCTGCGGTGTTGAGTTTGGAGTTAATTGAGACACAGCTGCAAATGTTTGGGGAGACATGGCAATTTGTGCAGATGCAGCTGTTTGTGGAGAAACAGCTGTACAAGTAAATGTTTTTGGAGACACAGCAGATGATCTTTGTGATGATACAACAGAAGATGTATGTGAAGACATAGATGTAGATGTCTTTGGGGAGACAGTTGCACACAATTGAATGGGTTCAGTCGCAGATGTTTGCGAAGACACAGCTGTAGATCTTTGATGAGATACAACTGTAAATGTTTGCTGAGACACAGCTGTGGATGTTTGATGAGATACAGCTGTAGATGTTTGTGGAGACACAGTTACATGTGCCTTTGGGGATATAGCTGCAGATGTAGCTGCAGATAATTGCAGCGATACAGCTGTAGATGCTTGTGGGGACACAGATGTACATGTTTGTTGAGCCACAGCTGTAAATGTTTGAGGGGACACATTTTTAGATATTTGTTGAGTTACAGCTTTAAATGTTTGTGGTGACACAACTGATGACAGGGATACAACTGTAGATGTTTGTGGCGACAAAGCTGTAGACATAGGCAGTAATGAAGAATTTTGTGGTAAGACAGCTGTTGATGCGTGTAGTGATACAGCTGTAAATGCTTGTATTCCAGTAGTTGGAAGGGACACTTGCATTGGTAGACATGTCTGTTTCAAAGGCATGTTAGTCATGGGTGTTGATGATGCAGTTGAAGTGGTCGGCACTTGAGATGTTGGCATTGGTGTAGCATTAAGATATATCACAGTTATTTGTGGCTTCTTTTCCTCTTTCACAGCTCTTTTCTTTCTGAAATAGTGCAATATAAATTTGTTACGGCATCAGTTGGAACGTGAACATTTTGACATAATATAGACACAAGATTCTAACTTCGCTTCTAGACTGTCGTATCAACCAAAACCTAATAATAAGCTCGAAACACTGTTTTTTTAAATATAGATCATGTATTCTACCCTTAGCTCTAAAAGGATGTAATGAAAAGATATGGTTCCTATACAAAGATGGGCATCAATTCCAGTACATCATGTACACTGTAGCTAGATTAAATTAAAGGCAGGATATTAATTACATAGCCTTATTATGTCTTCATTATTTGTCTACTTACAGTTAGTTTTTCACAATTTGTCTAGGGGCATTATGATGTGTAATCAAATTTGAATAGCAACATGCTAAATTTTAAATTCAACAATATCTTTCTAGTAAGTGTCTTGGGAATTCAGAGGGCCACTTGCTAGACATAATTTTCCTGAAAAAATCTTTATTTGACATTAATTCACATGTTTCTAGGTCAATTTAAGTTTTAATTTACAAACCTTGAGGCAGGTGGATCTTCGAAGTGATCTGGTGTCTCAGGCTTATGTTTCTGATCCAAACAGTGCCTTTTAAGTGAATTAACACTGCCATAAAACTTTTGACATGTGCACCTGAAATAAGTTGAATTAAGATCATTGATGCCCAGGTTTCAACATCATGATAAACCATGGCATCTCATTTCTTCTCAGCCCTGAGGTGAAACAGAAAGATGCTATGAGTATCAGAATGAGGTTTCAATGAAGTGATTTTCTATATAAGCTACCTGTAGTTGATGGACTAAAATTGGCCATCCCATTTACTACACCTCCAGAGGTAGTGTGTATTCGGATCAGACTCCAACATCAAGCAAGACTTATGGCTAATTGTTTGGCATTAAAAATAAGACTCCGAAGTTATACACACCAACCGTGACAGAAAGTGCAAAATTTTAAATTAACAGTTCAAAAAAGAAGAAAAACATTAACAAAAAGTACTTGATCAAAACCAGGTTTTACATTAGTTTTGCATTAGGTACACCACATACTTGAAAACAGCCCCAGGATTGCAGGTTTTCATATGATGCTTCAGGTCCCATTCTCTTCCAAATGCACTTGGGCATTGGTTGCACTTGAACTGCTTCTCAGCATGTTTTCTCTTATAGTGCTGCAAATAATATGTATGTATGTATATTTATTTATTTAAGTGCCTCATATAGAATACCCAGCCTATTTTAGGCTTATGGGGCACATTGTACAATATATTTGAAAACAATATAATAACACAATCATTGGTGCAATATTTCTAATCATAGAGGAAGGGGGAAGGGAGGGGGGGGGAAGGAATGGAAGGAGATGGAAGGCAACATCAAATGAAATACATGCATGATATCAGGCATATAGAATTTGAGTTACGGTCCTGATGGAAGTACAAACATGATGCATATGAAAAGAAGATTGAACTGAGGCATCCCCTCAATCCCAAGAATGATGTTTGATTGATCTTTTCCACAAGGTTGGTGCCCAACAATATTTTGAAATGGAGATTGTTGATAGTAGAAGTCAAGGACTAACAAGGCATTAACATGCAAAATATCACCACCTGCCATTTGTTACAGATATCAAATGCTTAACAATGTGCACATTACTATAAAAATATGTCTTCAATTCAGATACTATATGATATCTAATATTTTGGTAAGCAATTATAAAGATATTTGCATTTTGGTTTCATAATATACGTTATTTACTAAGAAAGCTTGAATATGAACTTATTCTGAGGGGCAATATGATATTTTCCGTGGGCCTGAATATGCGACTGATAAACAATTTTCTGAAAAATATTACATGAATCTCCATTATATCAGAAATATCACTGATTGTTAAAGTACACAGATAACACAATAATCAAATAATCAGTGTAAAAGAGCTAAATAAATTAAATAATAAATAAATTAAATACTCAAAAAATCAGTACCTGTCTGAGGGCATTAAATGTTGGGAAATGTCTAACACCTGCTTCTGCTCCATAGTAGCACTCTTTCTTGGGGCAGTAAAATTGTTGCTCTAACTTTTCTTTCACTTTTGGGGTTTTAGTCATCAAGGCTCTCTCTGTATCATTCTAAGGTAAAAATGTCATATTCTTAATGTACATGTAGAAAATTTTATATTTGATATTCGATTGATATGATGGATATGAATATGATTCATAATCCTTTTACCATGTTACCATGGATACTACTGTTTGATTATTACTAAATTGTTGTTACATTGCCTCAAAAAATTGTTGACACATTTTGATGCACATTTTACACAATATTTGTACCTAACGAATAGATATCATCCAGTTCACAGTAATTAATAATCTTGATCAAAAAATTTAGGATTTTGCTTTTCATGTCTACTTCATTAATCAAATCTGGGAGACTAATATGCCAACAAAAGTATGAGTTCTTCCTGTTTTTGAATGGAAAAATATATGGGTCACTTTTCAGCATTGTAGAATGACCAGATGGTGACTCAAAATCAGAAAGTCAAGGGTCTCCAAAGATTTGAACCCAGAACATCTACAGTCTGTAACACTATACAATATGATCATGGCTTACTAGGGTGATTATGTCTATGAGAATTAACATGCACTTTGGCAATCTGTTTACACTACACAGTATGACAATGACAATAAGCTTACACTTTACAATGTAGAATCAAACTACTACCTCAATCATTTTATGCACATGTACTTTGTGCATGAGCCAAGCTGGGACATGTGACATCAACCGCTGACACCCATCAATCCCACAAACGAAGTCTCGGCGGGTAGGTTGGTTTAAGTCGTTTTCATCTGGGCAGATTTTCACCACCCCCATCATACAGTTATCAAATCTATGACATTACCTATGTGGGTGACATGGCTTTTGGCTCAGATGAGAAAATCTGCAAAGCAAAGTAAAACATTGAGATAACTAAAAATTGGTAAAAGACAATTATACAAATGATATTATTATATAATTATACAAAGTAGTGAATCCTCAATTTTTCAATGTAAATCCTCACTTATTCAATGTAATATTGGAATATCTGAATGGCAAAGTTTTTATACACTTGTGATACTCAGTATGCACTATGAAGCGTTCACAAACTGCAGAATAAAACTACACCTCCAGTGGCAATAAATAAATGAGTTATGAATTTGTTGAAGTGAGGATTTCAAGAGGTCATACATCAGTGGATGAGAGTATACAAAATTTAAAATAGGCAAGATACAAATTTTAGGGGATCAAGACAATATTGGGAACTATGGGCTTTCAAACCACCATGGTTTGGAAATGGTGACAGAAAATCGACTACTCATTTATTTAATGCCCGGACTGTACCCGCTTTTCAAACTAAAATACTTAGAGTGATTATAATAACCACATGTGTGCTGGCAGAGGTGAGTACAAGGAGGACTGGGTCCCAGAGTTCCATCTCAATATTCTGCCATATATGGAGTCATGTTGTGATTACAAAATTTGAAATCAAACAGCCACCATTTTTACGCCCTGTGATCGGAACAGAATGAATGGAGGGGAGAGTAATCGATTTCTGGTTGAAAATTCAACAAATGTCCAAGATTTTTTTTTTTATGACAAAATTTAAGAATAAACCACTCAATGAATAGGTGCATAGTATGGTGAAATCTGTTAGGTGTTTCATGATTTTCTCTTAATTGATGCACTTCTAAGGTGTGAGATATATAAAAAAGGCATATTGCATCCCCACCAACCAGCACAAGTCAATATTTTTGCTATTAATCAAGCAACAATGGTCTACACTATCTACACAACCTGTACCACTAGTGATGCTGATGTAATTACAATAATTGAAACTATATTCTTAGTTTTGAAATGCCCTCCATTTGTCTTCCCACTCCAGTGGAAGAATCAATTAGTTTTGTGGTCCCAATGTGGGATGAATCTTTAAAGTTTTAAAATATCTTTGGTGACAATCGACGATAACTTAACTGAAAAAAAGGTTTTACGCATAATTATTGTGGTTCTCTTTATGTATGAATTCTTTACAGAATCAAACAATATTTAATTATTATCACACTGCGATTAGTGTAAAAAATAAGTCCTAAATTACCGGAAGTATTTTTTCCAGGGAAACCACAGATATTGGCCAGATCGTTTTGTAGTAGGATCTCATAGGCTCAAAGAATAATACAGAAGATACGACACTAAATTGGAAAATTTAAAAAAAATATGACCACCTTTTAAAAATGTTCCTTATCCAAAATGGTACCTGCTTCCTCATGACAGATTTTGCACTTATTTTATAGCTGAGATCTTCATCTTTCTATTTCTACTTGTTTGGTTCGAGCAAATAACCTTTTGATGCAGTTATTTGACTTTTAATACGGCGAATATTTTTCACGAAATCCGGACTCTTGTGTGTCCAAATATCATTATACTGATGACGTCACACTTCTGGAACCACGGGAGCACCATTCAGATTTGGACAGACAAGAGTCCGGCGATAAAATATCACTGTTTTGGCCTCTTATCAACGCAGTATTGCTTGAATAACGGTCATTGGTGATAAAAAAGGTAAAGAATATCAAGACCCTTCGAATGAGGTATGATTTGTCTCATATTTTTCAGAAATGGCTCCAGAATCGTCATTTTAAAATTTGAAATTTTCTGAGGTGTCTCATCTTGAGGAATATTTATTGAGCTACTGATTCTACTACAAAATAATCTGGCCGGAATCTATGAGGGAAACCTTGATTTTATTGTTTCATTGCATCACCTGTTAGATCTATCTAAACTCTACAGTATTGGACAACTTCCCAGTACCATGTAATCAAGATATTAATTCAGATCTTTTGGATCGCTGTAATGAATTTATAGCCAGTTATAATAGCAGACAATAATGACATTTTCAATGTTGATATCAGTCAAAGTCGACAGAATATGGCCATTCTCCTTGCAGTTCCGTCGTGCAAACTTTAGGATAGAAATCAGCACCAAAAAAATTGCTTGGTTAAAAATATTGAGTTGGAACCCTGTGAGCCAATCGAGCTGAGTGCAAATAAAAACAGTCTAGGCCCTAGCCTAGAGTTGACAGACATAATTATGTGTCTTGCTTACCACCTTCGTTTGTTCGAATTTTAACCTGCTTGTTTCCAAATTATACACTTCGATGTGATCTTTAATTCACAGTTGAAGAGAATGTTCTGGCGAAAGAAGATATCCAAATTTAGAATATAATTGATATCTATCTCGTTCAAAAAACGTATATTAGACGTCCATGCTTTAATATTGATATAAGCTTATTCCACACACCTTTATTTATCTTGATGTGAAATAAGAAGCTATGGTAACATGCCAGAAATGAACATAATATTATTCGAAGCTTATTTCAAAAATGTTGAAGCCGCCATTGATGAAGTCATTTGTTTGTCGATTTTTGACCAATCAGAGATGTATGTCACCCCAATACAGGTTTACATTTACTCACTTTGAGAGCCATGTTAGATTTTGAAACTTATGGCTCTCCAACGGCGAAATGGACAGCTGATATAATAGTGACCTTTGAAACATGAATAAGTCGATCCGCAGCTTACTTTTGTTCTCTAACTATGTCATACATCATTATCATCCTTCCGTGCAAGTATTAGAGCGCGGAAGCACTTCCTTTTCAATCAAGATTTGTAATTGTTAGTCAAGTGAATGTTTTTTTCTGCCAAATTCCAATATGGCGTTTTCTGCTCTGACATTTTCGTAAATCTCTGGAGGTTGTCCGTATCTAACTCATTCTCAAAATTCATTTCGTTCGTTGCGTATCTCGCTCCTAGTAAACCGCCATATTGGTAATGGGTCGAAAAAACATTTACTCGATGAACAATTTACAAGTCTTGATCGAAAAAGAAGTATTTCAGCACTCCAATACTTGCACGGATTGATGATAATGATGAAAGACACATTTAGAGATCAAGTTAGCCGCGGAAATCTTTATTCATGTTTTAAAGGTCACTATTATTCAGCTGTCCAAGTGCGCCGTTAGTCTATATCCAATAGACTGAATTTCAGACTAGAGGATATAGTCTAAGTGCGCCGTTGGAAAGATATTATATCAAAATCCACATAGCTTTCGCAGGAAGTAAGTTTACATCATAAGCCCATGCCATCTTTGAACTCTGTGATTATTTCCCCTCTGGGCCTATCTTAGGCCAGAGACATATAACATATGTTTTATATGTCTCTGCTTAGGCCTAGCCCTAGGCCTAACAAATTATTTTGAAAAAATTAAAAAACAAAAAAAAGCAAAAACCAACCTGAATTATATCTGGCAATCTGCTATTCAGAACAATCCAATTTTGATATATGCTACATATTATGACCCCCTGATAACATATATGCCTAGCAAAAGGCAGTATTCTATCTAGTGATCCGACAATAATCCAAAAACTTGCAAAACTAAAAATATTTTTAAAAAAATATTTTGATCCCCATTTTGAAGAGCTCTTATATTCTTCAACCTGCGCATGCGCATCCATGCTTGAGAAGAGTTCCAGACATTTGTTTCGTCCATTTCGTTGCCTAAATACTGCAAATGAACGCTTTTCTGAGAAGTGAGTTTCTTATAGAATTAAAGGTAAGTTCTATTTACGTCATAATTCTTTGAAATATTAATTTTTTATCACTTATATTGTCTGAAATGGAATATAATTTGGTTCAAAATTTTAGCCCTTTCATTCACTGACTCAGTCACTTGCACTGAGCTGAGAATCGAACTCTGGACACGGGGAGTAAGTCACCCTCCTCTGTAATATATTCTCTATATTATTCTCTTCATATAGGCTACAGAATATAATAGGGAGGGGACTTACTCCCCATGTCACAGTAAAACCAATAGGCAATTCCAGGTTTGCCTATCGAAGGTCGCAAATTGGAGAAAACGCAAATCTACAAATGGGGCTACGAAGAAGGGGATCATAGAGGGGGTCAACTCCGATTAGAATCTAAAGCAAAATTTGGAGATTTTTCTAAACAAGTTCCTCTGAATGGGTGGGTTTTATTTGCATTTTTCGCAAATCTGGCCCACATTTATGGGGGTTGATGTCATCATGGGCATCTATTGAAAGGCTATGATGTAATGTTACTTGTGATCTTACCATTAGTTGTACACATGTCATGTGATAAAAATGCTGTGATATCTTTTTGCAAGATATGGTATAAGTCCTATAATTTGACACTCTATATTCAGATGTTCATCTGTACTCTTCGATAGTATTTGTGTCAAATGTCATTTTGACTTTCATTGAACATCATATTCAGCTATTGATGAGTTCTGCTTGGTTCAATTTATAGTTTTCAATCTGCTCTTTCTCATAGTTCAAATCTATCTGCTTTGAGATATCTAGACAACCCATGTTTACACTATTTGTACAGAATTATGAGCCTTCAAGAGAAAGCCCAAGATAGTATTTAGAAGTTTCAGGGTTCTCACTAGTATTTTAGACTCCGAAGATTTTTTATACAAACAAGGAATAGGAAGTCAATGCCGCCAAAAATTCTGGGGTCTAAAAATTCCTGGTTAGAACCCTGAGTTTACATTTTTTGTATACTATTAAAAAGTGAATTAAAACACAATCATCTTTCAAAAAGCTGAAAAACAACTTCGACTCATCTCAAAGAAATTATTTATATTGAATCTTTTTGTAATTAATTTTTAATTTTTATGAGCCTTGATTTTTGTCAACATTCATGTACCTTTTTAAAGCCACCATAGAAACTATTTGGATATTTTTGCTTGGATAATTCTGAGGTTTAAGTTCTAAGGAGAAACATAATGACATTATAATAAATTGTCTTACATATCATTGA